ATTCGCTATACCAAGTCAGCCCTGGGCTTGAGGAAATGGGTTTTACAGATTTAATCTAGATCAGGATCTGCAACATTGACTGTGGAAGAGCCAACTCACCTGGTTGAGTGAGCAATTTTCTTCCTGGGATACAGAGTTTTGGTTCTACCGCTGAAGGGGGGTTAAAGCAGTCCCACCTCCCCCTTAATTGGAGAGTTTATTTTGTTTGTTTTTTTCAAAAAAACCCTGAAAACAAGCATCTGCATGGGTGTGTCCAGGAAAAGCATCAAGCTAGAAAGACAGAAAAGAGGTGGAAAAGATTAACTCCAACCCAAAGAAAAGCACCTCAGCAGTAGTCTTTACATCAGGGTGTCCAACCTTAGCAACTTTAAGTCCTGTGGTCTTCAACTCCCAGAATAGCTGGCTGGGGAATTCTGGGAGTTGGAAGTCCACAAGTCTTAAAATTGCCAAGATTAGACATCCCTCCTTTAGATAGCAAGAGAAACCTCTCTGAGCGGCAAGACATTGAGAGGCAGAACTGAGATATGAGGGAGAGAAAAGTCTATCTAGAGCAGTGGTTCTCAACCTTTTTAATGCTGCGACCCCCAACCGGTCGTAAGTCGAGGACTACTCAACTGGTGTAGCACCGTTTGCAGAATGGGACTTTTGGCGGGCTCAGCAGGGCAGAGACAGCCTGGACAATTCCTATTGGCTTTTGAAAGCCAATAGAATTAGACTCTATTCAAGAGAGTCTATTCTATTGGCTTTCAAAAGCCAATAGAATAAAAGGGAGTAGCACAGCTAAGGAAAAGGGGGAAAAAATGGCAGACTGCATTGTTTGGTGACCTCCGTGAAATGGTCGTTCGACCCCAAATGGGGTCCCGACCCACAGGTTGAGAACCACTGATCTAGAGTCTAAAAACCCCAAGCAAGCCTAAAACCAAACCATACCCATTGCTTGCAACCACCCAGGTGCAGAGCCCTACCAACCAGCGCCACAAACTGTGAATGCTGAGGGAGAGAAAAGCCCATTGGCAAGTCTATAAAGGAGTGAAAAGGGTTTTCAGATGCAAATGGACTGAGATTGACTACAAGAGCTAGGGAGTTGGGAGGGAAAGGATGATTTAAAAGAAGTAGTTAAGATAAGAAAACATAGTGCTACCTTAGGAATAGAAAAGAATGTAGAAATATATGGATTAAATAATCCTAGAAATAGAATGGTATTACACTTACATTAATGCAAAGAGTGGAGTAAATTATAAGTTTAGCTTTGTACAATAAAACAGTTTTGTGTAGAAAAAAACAGATTCAGTCTTTGTGTTTATGTTCTGTACCATATTGTGAAAAATGATAACACTGACTATATTTTAGCATCCTACTAGAACAGTGGTGATGAACCTATGGCATGCGTGCCAGAGGCAGCACTCAGAGCCCTCTCTGTGGGCACGCGCACCATGCCCCTGTAGTAGAAATCAAAGACTTGAATCAGCTCTTTCAGGAAAGGGAAGTTTATTGCGCGCAGGTTCAGAGAGCCATCCTGGCTAAACAGTCTGAACCCAGATTGTACCTTGATGACCATTTTTATAACCCTTTCTGGCGGGGGTTATTTTCAGGTCATTACATTCTATAGGTCCTTATTCTAACATAGAAAAACTACTAAACAGATCTATAATCGATAGCTCCTCTGGGAACAGGATGTCTGGCCATCCTAAATTTAAGAGTTGTCTTGTAAGCAAAACAAACCTCCCTTACACACACAATCTTTGGTGGGCCATCTGCTTTTTACCCATATTCTTTGTCAGACCATTAATATTTTTCCAGGTACCACTTTACCCCAGAGATGGCAACCGTCCCTCTTCAACCAGCTGCCCGAGGTCCCATGTGGCTGGATGCATCCCAGCACCCATGCACTCGCTGGCCTGTGTGTGCAGGGGCCGATGGTGTCAGGCAGCAGTCGCCCCAGCCCCTGCCTCACATTGCCTGTGACAATGGCACCCCCGCCCTGCCTCACCTTTCCCTGCAGGACAAGCCGCCTGCCCACCGCCCCACCTGCCAGAGACCCCCTGGATCTCCCCCAACCCTGCCCGGCCCCCACAGGCATCCCTCCCCATGAGCAACATTGAGGTGATTACACCCCTTGGCCACACCCACCCAATCTGCCATGACCACCACAGCCACGCCCACCTGGCACCCAGCGATAAATAAGTGGGTCTTGGGTTGCAGTTTGGGCACTCGGTCTCTAAAAGGTTTGCCATCACTGTACTAGAAGCACATTCCCTATTTCCTTTTTTTTCTTAGTTGGATTGGCTTTAGTAAGTTTCCTGTGCCAATCCACATTGTCTGCAGAAGAATAGGCTGTGACCCTATATTTATGATTAGTTGGACAGAATGAATGTTGTGCTCATCCATCCAGCCGTTTTAGCATTGAAAGCTCCTGTATGACCTGAAGAAATTTCAGTGAATCCTTGAAGTACATGAAACCTCCAGGGATTAGAAGGACCTATTTCATTGTAGTACAGATAAAAGAGATGAAACTTTACCACTCATATCAAAATATAGGCAGAAATTCAGTTGCTTTTGGGTGAGGACCTGTGGCAGATTAGATGTCTCTGTGAATGACTCCGTAGTTTGGACAGCACCGTGATGAAATCCGGCAGCCAGCAGACAAATTCTGGCTGGTAAAAATCTCACTGGAGAAATGGGAGATTGGGGGATCTCCCCCACTTGCACTCTGGATAACCTGACCTTTGCGAGGATACTACAGGAATTGAAGTTTTTGTGGGAGTTGAGTGGCTCGGGAGTTGAGGGAATGTCAATGCACCCATATCTGCTGTGCACTTTTTATCGACATATGGCCAGCAAAAACCTCACTTTCATAAACAACTTTGGATAAAATTAATTAATTTTAGAATTAAGAAGACTAAAAAGAGTTTAAATTAAATTCTTAAAAGAGTTTCCTTTAAAAAGTAAAAGCAGAACAAGATCAGGATTCAAGGATGTTTTAAATGGATAAAGGGCACAGTAATTTTAGAAAACAAAACAATTTATTTTCCTGACAAAAGTGCCTTTGAAAACATTAAAATTAATTAGACAGACTGGATCTTCTTGGGAATGCTGATTGTTTACTATTAAACAAGGTATATAATTGGTACAAAATAAAAAGATAAGGGTAATTGGAGCCAGATTGTGTGACTTTAACTGCAGAGCACTAGCTGGGATTAAATATTAAAAGCAGAAAAACACAAAACAAAAAAAGGAGCCTGTTTTTTTACTTTCACCCTAGTACAGGGGTAGGCTGGCTCTGGAATTCTGGGAGTTGAAGTCCACGAGTCATGAAAGAGCCAAGGTTGCCTACCCCTGCCCTAGTACTTCATATATGTTCACTTTATCATAATGGCAACAAGAAAAACAGAAAAAATGGGAAAAGGAAGAGAGAACAAATTACAGATAAGGGCATTTCACCACATTTATTGCAGAAATTGTTTGAGGAAATGATAAAAAGCTGTCTACAACTGTTGCCAATAGTTTGAATGTTTTTAAAAAGAAAATGGAAAAAGGATGTGTAGGAATAAAAAAAAGGATACAAAAGAAGAACTTGTTTCTTTTAAAACTGAAGGACAAACAGAAAAAAAAAGCCATGGAAGACTATTTCAGTATAAGATTACTGCTGCAACATGTGCAAAGATGGGAAGATTCAGCATTATCTACCACGGAAAAATGGTTTGGTGAAATTGACAGAATTTGTTGAGATGGACAAACTGACTTCTTTGATTAGAGAAAAGAAAATATCTACAGTTTCCACTGGTGACCAGAAACTTCTTATGAACTTTTTGCATAAAAATGAAAAAAAAATAACATGTGATTTATGTTTTTCATGATTCAAGAGTATAGATTGTAGAAAGAAGGCAATCATGATGTAACTTTAGAGAAAGAGGTTAAAGTATAATTGTACTTATCAACTGCTATGAAGGATATCAGAACCTACTTTTTTATACTTCTTTCTACCTTTCTTTATATCTTTCTCTTTTTTCTCTTTTTTCTTTTCCTTTTTTCATACTGCACTTTTAGCATATTCTTTCTTTTTCTCTGTTTTATTTTACTTTGTATTCTTATTATTGTTCTTAATTTTTTCGTCAAAATTGCATTAAAAATAGTACACAGGCAGATACTCTTTATATCAGTGGTTCTCAACCTGTGGGTCGGGACCCCATTTGGGGTCGAACGACCATTTCACGGGGGTCGCCAAACAACGCAGTCCACCATTTTTTCCCCCTTTTCCTTAGCTGTGCTACTCCCTTTTATTCTATTGGCTTTTGAAAGCCAATAGAATAGACTCTCTTGAATAGAGTCTAATTCTATTGGCTTTCAAAAGCCAATAGGAATTGTCCAGGCTGTCTCTGCCCTGCTGAGTCCGCCAAAAGTCCCATTCTGCACCAGTTGAGTAGTCCACGACTTACGACCGGTTGAGTAGTCCTCGACTTATGACCGGCTGGGGGTCGCGGCATTAAAAAGGTTGAGAACCACTGCTTTATATGGTCTCCGCTATGTATTCAAGATGGACAGTGATTAATATTTATATGTATTTATATGTAAGGGTGTAGGTATATACATATGTTGTATATAGCATGTTTATATGTGTGTTGTGTATGTGTATACCTTTGAGAGCAAGCAACAGAATTCCATTTTTAATGTGTGCCAGTGTGCCCTCAGCAAAAAATGACAATAAAGGTTATCTTATTCTTATTATTTCTAGATGTTTCTAAACCTAGGAAATTGTGTGGGGTTATATCTGCATGACATCTCATCAAAAAGAGTATCCTGCAGTCTTGTTTTCAGTTCTTGGGCAGTTAAGCAAACTCATATTTTTTTCAGGAAATGATTCCTGGAGGGTAAATTGTCAAAAGGAAACTAGTTGTTTCATTTCCTGCTTAGTTGTTTTCTAGTCCAAATAATCTGCCAGTTAGGCTGGCATTTCCCCCCCCCCCTTTGCTTCTAACCAACTTCTTTTCCTTCTTCCACAGGTAAAACAATGAAGCAATAGAGATGCTTCCCTTTGTGATCGTCACCCTGGGCTCTGCAGGGACTACCTGCAGGTCCTCCAGCTGCAACAACAGCAGCACTAAGGATTATTGCTACAGTGCGCGCATCCGCAGTACTGTACTGCAGGGATTGCCCTTCGGAGGGGTGCCTACTGTCCTCGCCCTCGATTTCATGTGCTTTCTTGTAAGTGGCTGTTGTCCTCTAGCTTGTTGGCAAAGGTGCTCATCCCATGCACAGGCAGTTCAAAGCACACAATCTCTGCAACACCTCATACACAGGCAGCACATTGGTTTAACAAGAGCTTATCTAGGATCTTTTGCATGCTCGTTCTGTTATTCCGCTGCAATTTGGCACCCATTGCAAGGTGCCAGCCTGCTTTGCCTGGGTAATCAGACAAAGGTCTTTTGTGGGACAAAAGAGGGGCAGCAACTCATGTGTAATGTAAGAGCACATTGTCAGGATTGCTAGAAGCTCTCAAGGATCTAAGATAATGTAAATAATTTATTGACATATATTCCGTCCACTTAAATAGTTCTGCCTCATTCCCAATAGCAATTTATTCCAGCATTTAGTATCCATCACAGAAAAAGGCAGACTTTGTTAATGTTAAATGTATTTGTAGTGAGACCTGAATAAGGATCTAAGAATGTGGGATTGGCTGTGCAACAGGTGGGAACCTGCAGGTAATTTGAGCCTAAGTCATGTAAGGCTTTATACTCAACTCAGTCCCTTGAATTGGCAAACTTTGTGGCTATTTCAAAACAGATGAAGGGAATGATGATTGAACTAGAATCCTTATCAGAATGTAGTGGCTTGTACCTCTAGAATGTGCCACCCAGCATCCATGCTGCTGCATTCTGATAAAGGTTTCTAATTATGGTTGATTCCCCTGATTTTGCCAACCTAGACAATCCTAACTCGGAGTGGTTCATCATTCAAAAAGTATCTGGTTAAGGTTCTTTCCAGCTCTGCCACTTGAAGTTCATCGTTGGCGACAGAAGTAACTGATCTGAAGCCCTAGATTTCTGGAGGACCAGAGGGGTGATGGTATAAGCCATCCTTCGCACTTTGTTTTAAAGCATTCTGAAAAAATTGTTTTAAAAAAGAATCTGGGCCGTCTCATATACACTGAAAATAGGTTAAATCTAAGTTTATATGCACTGCCAAAGGAACAGGGAATCTATGGTCATTCAGATGTGGCTAAACCATGGCCTCCAGCTGCCCACATGCTGGTTGAAGCTGCCCAGTATTGTACTTCAGCAAAATCTGGAAAGCTGCAAAGTCGAGTCCTATCCTACATCCATGGGAGAAGGTTCCGTTATTGAAAACTGTGGAGGGGAATATGATGTCACATCAGGCATCATAATTCTGCTTTCTGAGTACCAGAAACAGTTGCAGATGTGGGACATTTGCAGTCTTAATCTGCAAACACAAGGTCTGAAATCCTTGAAGTTACCTGAAAAAATCTTTTGCTTGCTGCCAATGGTTGAAGTGCCAACCAAGTAGAATTAAAAAAAAAGGTCTACCATAAATGCCGGCGTATAAGACGACTTCCGCAAGCGCTGAAATCGGCGCCAAAGACGGGGGTCGTCTTATACGCCGAGTTGTCTTATACGCCGGAAATACTGGTAGTTTCCGGCGTATAAGACGACGTTCTAGGAATGCGGCCTGGCTATAAAGACGGGGGTCGTCTTATACGCCGGGTCGCCTAATACGCCGGCATATACGGTATATCCTTTAATAGAGTCTGCAGTTAGCAGGCCAGATGTACATACATGTTGTCTTTAATGCAGTCTGTGTAAGCCTCTTTTGAGGTATGACTTAGCAAATTTGGCTTTTCCAATGAAGAGGTTCTATGTTTTGATACGGAGCAATTTATTTGTTTATTTTTTGCAGAGTATTTTTGGATTCAGAATCGGGGTAGCATTAGAGGCTGAGCAGGGGACACTGCCAACTGATCATTTTTTTTGCCTTACATTTCCTTATTTGCCTTTCTACAGGCGCTGCTGTTTGTTTTTTCCATTTTGCGCAAAGTGGCCTGGGATTATGGACGTCTGGCATTGGTAACTGATGCTGACAGGCAAGTAATTTTTTTTAAAAAAAAAAACTAAGAAATTAAGAAACCTCTTCTTGGATCAAATAACAGCTGGACTGAAGTTAGGAGGAATTTCTGAAGCAGACATTCTTGCTAGCCAGCAGTTCAAGAATTTGCTGTTCAAACAGCTACTTAGCTACCCCAAAGACTTGCACATGCAAATGGCTTGATGCTTTTGTTTTAAAGAGTTCTGCTTCATATCACAAAGTTGGAAAATGCTTCATAATTTAAAAATGAAAAAAGAAGAAAAAACATGCCCTTGAAATTAGCATCTCCTAAGAAACCCCTGCTCAATTTTCTAAATCCCAGTTGGTATCTCAAGCCATGGTTGTTGTAAAAAAAAAATAAGCCTATGGTGTAGTAGGAAGTCCAGCCTGATCTGTCCTCTTAAAGACCAAATTGAAGAGACACAGCCTGTACTTTCTCCAAAGTCTTGAATGGCCTTGCTAGTAGAAACTGCTGGATTGTAATTTTTAATGGGAAACTGGAAAATGTTAAACATAAAGGGAGTCATTATATCCACTGTATTTAATTTTAGTCAGAAATGAAAATCCTTTTGAGTTGAACTTGACCTTTGTCAATTACATGGACATGTCCATGTAAGGTTTTTGGGAGCGGTTCAGATGTGTTTGCCATTTCCGTAATCTAGGATTCTTTTTAAATTTCTTGATCTTCATTTATATATCTACTTCCTTGAATTCTAGTCTACTGTCCTAAAGCAGATTCTCAAGAAGAGCATCCTGTTCTGTCATATTTATCCCAGGTCCCTTGTTGTATTGGATTGTACTGTATTGTATCATATTTCATTGCATTCTCTATTATACCTTATGCTGTTTTTCTGCCAATAAAATTAAGGATGAAAAAAAAACCTGTACTGAATGATTTGCATCATCATCATAGGCTGAGGGAGGTGTTATTAAAAACAGTTCTTAAATCTAATTTAACAAGAGAAACTTAAAGTATTAGTAATTCAAAACATTTCAGTGATTAGCAATCAAGGTCAAAGCAGGAATAGTTTTATCTTTGGGCTTAACCACCGATAAAGTCCTTCTCCATATCATTTTTTACCAAATGAAACTTCAAGGTCAGTGGGGTTTGTCATTCAAAGTCCTGGTTATTCACAATTCCAGAGAGGGAGAGAGAAGTTGCTTACAAATTGTATGCACAATATAGAAAAAATGTTAACAAATATGCAATGCCGCTTCTCCTCCCGGCGCTGCTTTAGAGCTTGGCGCATCATCGCCCAGCTCGTCCCTCTTCCCAAAAACAAAAAAGTGTCTTCACTAATCTGCTTTCCAGCTCTGGTGTATTTCTCTCCTGCTGCAGGGAAACGGTGTCCGTGAGACTAAAAAAAGTTCAGTCAGACCTTCTAACTTCGCGAGATCTTTTTTTAGGCAAGTGATCTGTGGGGTGGAGCGTGAAGAAAGCCCCTACAATGGCACACAGCAGCAGTGGAGCCTTTTGCCATCACTCCCCCCTGCCTCCAAAATGGTGAGGGGGACCAGGTCTACCCCGCCCATCCTCCATACGATAGCATGGCAGTCCGGCTAGGGAGGGGAGTGAAAGGGAGCAAGGAATGGCTTGGCTGGGGGGGGGGCTGAAGGAAGCGACTGCGGGGCATGTGGGGTAGCTCCACCCCTTCCCCCACCTGACTCACCTTGTTGTGACGGCAGTGGCGCAATGTGCCATGCAGCCTCCTGCCGCAAGCGGCCGCAGCAGAAGTGGGCTAGCAGCCATGCAGGCTCCTGCTGGATGGGGCTGTTGGTGCTGTCACCGTGAGGCGAGGCAGGTGTCACGGAAAATATAAGACATCGCCCAAAAGTAAGACCTAATGCCTGTTTTGGAAGAAAAAATAATAGAAGATCAGGTCTTACTTTCAGGGAAACACGGTATGTATATATATGTAGTTCTGGAAGAGAGAATTTTAAAGAGTTTTAGAAAAGAAAAAATTCCCGCCCCAGCAAATGAATGTGAAGAAGCACCGTTATGTGTATATAAACTTTATTTCTCCTGGGACGACAATATTTCTAAAGGGAAGACTCAAGAATATCACCTAGTTTGTTTCTGCATTTATAATTTTCATTTGCAGCTGTTAAATGCATCTTGGGATTATGCCCTGTGTTTCTGCAGAATCTTTTTTTTAATTTCTCTGGCCTGATGTTTGTGCAACCACATTTATTTAACATTTGAAATTTGGGGAAACAAATGACAGGAAGGCAGGAAAAAAAAACAAGAAAAATGTTCAGAAAGTCAGTCACTGTCCAGGAACATCTCTGTCTGTTGCACAGTGAGTGACCTTTAGCCAAGTTTATTTGTTCTTTTCTGATCAGATTTGGTGAAATGTTTCTTTCCTAGGACTTCTGAAATGTCAGCCAGAGGGAAGGAGGATCCTGACTCTTTACTCAGATGGTAACCTGCTGGTAACTCTCTCTCTTTTAATTTTAATTATTTTTCTTCTGTTCTCAGGAAGCGACGCTGGCAACAGGAGCAAGAGGAAAGGGAATAGTACGTTGTGGGTTTTTCCACGTGTTTAATTCTCATTTCTGCCACTGCTTTTACCATTTTCTCCTTTTGCTTTGGGACTAATCTTTTTGGAAACAAGGGCTTGATTTCTTTTATTTTGGCGTCCACATTGAACACTGCACACTTAACTCTCCCATGCCCTTTGTACTTCATGAGCCTTTCCTGACCCTGGTGCACACCAAAAGTTACATATCAGAGATTATGCTGACTAGATTAGGGTGGAAGTCGTAGTCCCCAACATCCAGAAAGCACCAGATTGACATGCACTGCATGGAAGCTAATGATGTGAACAAGAACTGGAGGAGAGGAGTAATGAAGAAGATTGTCATGAATAGCTATGTTATTGCTGAAACAATTTAAACAAATTAAACATTGTTACTAATTTAGAAATTTAGAGAGTAGATAGATATAGGAAGTATTTTAGTTAATCTTGGCAGGACAAACTGTGATGGAGAAGGTCTTATTATTTGTTTATTGCCTTTTCTAAATTTGGTGACAGAATAATCCACAGAGTATTAATGGATTATCTGATTTATCTATGTTTTATTTGTAAAAATTCTCTGCCCTTGCACCATTTATAAGAGAGTTCAGAAGAAAATAGAACACGTACATAAATTATGCAGTTCAACAAGCAGAGACATCAGCTACCTTACATTATTTTAAATGGGCATTAGATAAATTCAAGGAAGATAAAGCTATTAATGGCTATGTATTATCTCCAGTAAGGACTATCTGGGTCTTTGATCTCATCCAGCATAGTTCTGATTGTGTTCCTTTTTATCTTTGCATGCATTTTAAATATAATGATATTAAAAAGCATTACTTAGTAGTATAGCTTTTAGTTTTGCTAGGATTCCACTGAACTCTTCATTATTACGCTGGATTCGGATAAGAAACACACAAAAAATCATTCACTAAATCTTGTATTTGTGCACATGTATATAGATATAGTATGCATGTACAGGTAATCCTTAACTTACGACCACAATTGAACCCAAAATTTCTACTGCTAAGCAAGACAGTTGTTAAGTGAGTTTTGCCCCATTTTACAACTGTGGTTGTTAAGTGAATCACTGCCATTCATAAGTTAGTAACACGGTTGTTAAGTGAATCTGGCTTCCCCATGGATTTTGCTTGTCAGAAGGTTGCAAAAGGTGATCACATGACTCCAGAACACATCATAAATACATGCCAGCTGCCAAGCATCCAAATTTTGACCACGTGACCACGTGCTGCAACAGTCATAAGGATCATAAGTCACTTTTTTCAGTGGCATTGTAACTGTGAACAGTTACCAAATGAATGATTGTAAGTGGAGGGACGGAGGAAGGAAGGAGATCTATGATGAGTAAAATTATTCTCTCAGATTCAAACGATCTTGTACGCTGATTTCTATATCTGCTAGAGCAGGGATGTCAAACTGCCGGCCCGTAGGCCAGACGCGTCACAAGGAAACTGGGCCCACCCCATTGCCGGCAAGGGGGAAAAAGCTCCGATACGTCGCACGATGTCATGTGACATCGCGAGTTTGACATGTCTATATTAGAGGATCTCTTTCACTAGCCTGCCAGTTTCACTCTTGATGTGAAAAGAGAAGGCAACTCAGTAGAAGCAGCTGCCCCGATTCCATTGCTGTTTCTTTGCTCCCAAGTTCTTGTGGAATTAAGAGCAAGTAAGGCAGCTTAAAAGGACTGGTTGGAGAGGGGTTTTGCCCCAGGCCCACAATGCTTGTATATGTTAATGAATTCAAGATCCAGTTAGTTCAGAGATTTTCTTTAGTATAACTTCATATTTTTCAGAAATGGAAAGATAGAACCTACGTACATAATTCAACCAAATAAAGGTCTGATGACACCATCAAGGCCATCAACAGAGAAAATAGTTTTCCTACACTGTATTTCTTGTCTGTGGCCTATCCTGCATACATGATGAAACTTCCAGGAAATGCGTTACAAAAAAGCATTCATCAGTTTGTTTGGTTTTGTCTGTAAGTCTGATAGAACCTTAGCCAAGGAAGTAGAAAAATCTTCAAATGGGAAGCAGTTCTGAGCAGCTTATACTGTGTGGTATTGCAGAACCTTAAGACTAAGATAAATAATCTTAATAAAGGAGTTGAACAGTTGTTAGTATAGATTTCTTGCTTAAGGCTAAATGTTGCTGTTCCTTAGTCTTCAGTAGCAATGAGGAGAAGGATAGGTGAATACTCAAAAGGGCCCATTCATTCTTAGAGAGGTTTAGGAGTTGACAGATCTGCTGGGATCCACACTCATCTTACCTCTTGTTACATCAGCTGCTGCCATTTCTTACACTACTGAAATTTGCCAGGTAATATACTATCCTTTGGCTCTCCCTTGTGGCCAGATGCTTTCCATGTTCATTTTGTTTATGCACAGCAGTACAAGTGCTATTTCTTCAAGTCAGGCTCAGCTCCAACATAGTCATGGACACATCCATGCTATGTTCTACTCTAGACAATTATACAGACATGATTTGCCAGAAATATGGTTCTTGGTGCATATACCAAAGTGTATTTGAATATGTATTTGAGAGCTTGGTATATTTGAGTTTTTTTAAAAAGCAGAAAGAAATCCTTTCTGATTCTTATAACTTTTATTTAGTGCAGATAGAAGAAGGGGCCAATCACTGAAAAGAGAATACGGTTAAAAGATAGTTAACATCAATTTAGATGGAAGAAGAAGGAGCAGATGAGGAGGGAGACCCAGGTGACCCAGTATTGAATAACTGGAGGTTGTATAAATATTTATAGAAGTATATACCGAGAAGGTTAGATAAATAGAAGTATTAATGTAAGAGAAAATTAATCTTATTGTATATAATACAGATAGGGAAATTTGGAGAGAGGAGATGCTTGGACATTATCCCTGAATTGTATCTGAAGAGGGATGAGAGGGAAGAAAGGAGAGGAGAAAGAAAAGACTAAAGGAGGGGAGAAGGAAGTAGAAAGGTTGGAGGAGAAGAGGACAAGTGGGGAGAAAGGGGAGGAGAGTGGTGAAGGAAAGAGAAGAGGAGAGGAAGAAGAGGGAAGTAGGGAAGAGAAGAAAGGGAGAAAGAAGGTAGAGAAGAAGGAGTGTGGATACAGTGAAAGGGGAAATGGGTAAGCAACACCAAAAGTCATGTATATGTATTTATTTCATTTTATTAAAAGTATCTTATATATGAATGTAAAAAGAATGTATGTTAACATCTGATAAATATCACAGTATATGTATGGGGGAGAGTTTGGAAAAATAAAAAAATATTAAAAAAAGAAGAAGAGGCCAATCAGTTTGATTAATTAGTAAAATGGTAGAAACCATTTAATAACATATTTATATACAATTATGTGTGTGTGTTATATAGTAGTTCAAACTTAATTGTTATGTTATCACATATTAGATTTTCAGTTCCAATTGTTCGATTGTTTGCAGTTTATACAATATGTTGTATAATTATATAAATCTTTGGCAGTGATATTCAGGCTCACCAGATCCAAAAGGTTTTTTCCATTCCAATTTTTGTTCACTTGCACATCACATTGCACTAACACTTTCATTTTCTTAATTCTTATTATTAATTTGACATTCTTTACTAGCCTGTTATATTAAATTCCTTAGAATAAATGTGTCTTATGCAGCATCTGGGTTATTTCTTTATTTCTTGGTGGCTATATCTGTGTCGATGTCTATATTTGTATTGTCTGCTAATAATTTCATAGGAAGCTTCCTGGCTGCTGGTTCACAAGAAGGAGTGCGCAAACTCTCATAGCTCTTCTTCATTCATCTTTTGGGGCAGGCCTAACCTTTATTTCTCCTCTTCTCTGTTTCATTGCTCCATTATATGAGTTTAGCTGTGGAGGTGGTGATGGATACCTGGACCTCTTCTACACATTCTATCCGTAGATACAGTAGATGGTACTTGCATTCTTATGGCATCACTGATCAAACCTTGTGGCAGCACAGAAAATTGGAGAATGGAAGTCCCCTTCTTTCTCGTAGACTACACACTTGAAGATCATTTTCAGTGTTTCATCCTTATTTATTGCAATTACCTCTTTAAAGCTCTAAAAGTGCTATATAAATTGTACTTCCTCTGACTTTCACAACAAAAATGTGAAGCAGATGATGAGGCCACAAGGCACTACTTCATCAGCTGCCATTTCCCTGCAAAGTAGCCATTATCCTGTAATTGATGAGATGTTATTTATTGTTTCTGTTGCAAGCATGGAGATTGGACAGCTGCCACACCGTTAATTTCTGTGGGGATTTGTTAGCTCATGAACAGGGTCATTTGTACATTGCAACTGTGCTAAAGTAATGACTGTAAAATGTGGTGCTTGGTACAGCTCTTTAGCATCCAGAAGACATTTCAGTAAATAAATGTCCCTCTGCTTAGATGGGTTCTGCCACAAATGGGCTGTGCCTGCTGGAATCACAGTGGGTGACTTCACGAAGTTCCAGCCATTGAGAATGGGAATGTATTGCCTGCACTTGTCTTTGACCCACTCCAGGGCAGGTCACCGTCAGTCAGGAATTGGAAATACCCATGTTTAAACCACAACTGTACCTGCCTAGTAGATGTATCACAGATGTATATGCACTGGATCACAGATGTATATGTACTGGATCTGAGGGAAAGGAAAGAAAAGACAATCTTTGCTAACGGCTTTTCTCTTTTGCTTTCTGCCTTCTCTGGAAGCTTTCTCTTCATCTTGCCTGGACCAAATTGCCTTGCATTAACTGTCCTGACCTTTGGGTTCTCCTCTTTTAAGGGTGTGTGAGCTTCACTTAATGGGCATTTCTGTTATCGTTTCAGTGTTGCGTCTGCTCTACATTCTGATAGCCATGATCGCTATGAACGCCTCACTTCTGTCTCCAGCTCAGTGGATTTTGACCAAAGAGACAATGTGAGTGGAAGTAAATAAAAGGTTTGGTCCTTGGTGCAGCTAGTCCTTTTCAGGATGGCAAAAATCTTGAAATAACGTCTTTCCCAAGTTTAAAAGGAACAGCTGTGATTCAGAAAGTGGAAATGCATCTAACCCCTTTAAAGAAAATCTTTACATCCATCCCTACTATCTCAGTGCAAGGAATACACATCCCCACAAAAACATGTGTTAAAGGAAGTAAGAAATCAATAAAATATAGCCAACTAAATAATTTGGAGTGAGTAGGTAATAGCAGGAGGTCATATATATATAAACTGGGGATATGCAACATCGATCTCAACTTTAAATAGAGTTGTTCCAATCTTATTGGAAATGATCCAATTAGGCTAGAGGCATTTCTAGCTTCAAAACACTTGTAGAATAGTTAAAACACTGTAGGAGCTTCCGATGAGGTCAGGACAGTTATTTCAAGCTTAAAATGGAACATTTTGAGCTTCGAATGTTTTGAGCTTGGGAACATTTTGCATACCACTGGTATAAAGCAAATCACATTCTCCAGAAAAGAGCATATAAGAAACTAAAGGATAATTATAAATCTACAAAGATGGCCAATATGCAAGAATCTTTGTATTCCTTTCACTATCAGGACATTTCTTCTTAAGCATTTCTCTTAAAATGCTTTTTCATCCTACTTGTTTCACTCTAGTTTCAGTCATAGTAGCTTAATTAGGATGTTCCTGATCCACAGTAGCCTGTTTGCTGAAGAGTGACACTTTCAAGGTAGGACTTCAGAAGAGACATAAAAGATCCCACTTCACAGAACAGGCAGAAGGGAGCCACAGCGCAACCAGAACAAACATATTACCTGCATATTGAATTCAGCCCAGTACTGTTCGTTAATAAAGTGTTATAATTACTACGTCTACATCTGGATCCAACCCATTACTATCTAAAGGATGACTCCATAGGCTTGTAAAACTCTACACCTATCTGATACCACTATTGAGAGAAGAGAGGTGATAGAGAAGAGGCAAACGCTGTTGATTGCTTGTTAGCTCATAGAAATGGATTGCTTGTTGAAAATGTCCCATGCCCCTATTGAACAGGAAGAGTTGTCTCTTTCAGTTGTTTTTGAAATTGTATTTTAGCTAACCTCAAGTGAATCCAGAGCTCGTTGAGCAATCCTGCTTTTTTTTTCTCCAGCACCTCCATTTTGTTTTTCATCTGTCAATGCTAGTCACTGGAGTTCAATATTAATAGCAGAAAAGGTGCATGTATGCAGTAAGAACTTTCTGTTATTTATTCACCAGAAAACCATCCTGATTTCTGCAACAGTCTAAGGCAGTTCTGTTTCTAAATCTGAACAAATAACCCCCCTTTTTTTCTTCTGTACAAATGTGTCCAATTCTCACAGATTGCTAGGATAGTCCCTAAAGTTTTCTTGGCAAGATTTTTCTGAAGTGGTTTGCCATTACCCCTCCTTCCAGGGCTGAGAGAGAGTGACCAGCCCAAAGTCACACAGCTTGCTTTGTGCTTAAGGCCAAACTAGAATGACCATTACCCAGTTTCTAGCCTGGTGCTGTAACCACTCCACCAAACTGGCTTTCAATCTCAAATTATTTGGGGCCAAAACTTGGGGGCCAGTATTGTTTGCTTATTTTTGGAATTTAGGAAGGATTTTAATGCACATTATCATTGTCTGATCATTTCTGTTGGAAACAGGCTAATATGTTTTTGTACAATTTAAACATGAAATGTAGAAGTTCAACAAAGTGATTTTTTTTTTACAAGATCTTGGGTGATGACAATAATGGATCTTGGATTCTGACAAGAGAACTAGCTTGTTTTATAATTTAGAATTATTTTAATTGTTATCCGATTGTATAGTGTTCTATGTCCTAGAACTGTTCCAGTCCATTCTTCTATTTTCTTTCTCCCATTTTCAATTGAGGGGAGAAGCTAGTGGGATACTTTAGTTTCTTATGATTACTTGTATAGACTAGCAGATGTTCTGAAAATGGAGAAAAAAAAGAACTCTGAATAACATGGCCTTGTTTTGCCTCTCCATAGGGCTTTTGCTCCTGGTTGACAGCAATCTTCAGGATAAAGTAAGTTTATCCTATTTCCATGCAGATGTTTCTCCATTCTAGTGACTAAATGCCACCAATATCAATTGCTATTGCTCTTAACACTTTTTATGCTATCAGTACGGTGATAGAAAGTATAGCATTGCCCATATTTATTTATTAAATAAATAAAAGGGAAATGGATCATGGGAAGCCCAGAGCAGGTGGATCTGAGCCTGCACTAGACCTTCCAGGGCATCCCCAACCTCTAAGGCACCCTGTGTTCTACTTAATGGCCTGCAATCACTTAATGACCACATTGGGGAGAACAGGGAAGGAAGTCATTAAGCAAGGCGATCACGTGGGCATCTTCCTTAATGACCCTAACAACTTGCAACCATAATGAGCATACTCCATTACAGTCATTACACAAGGACTACTATATTGCCTTAACAAAGATCTTATGTTCAGAAACTAAATACATTTCTTCAAAGTTATTCTGCAATCAAGGGGACTTCAGATTCATTGACTCAGGGATTCTGGTAATGTGTTGTTTCTTTCTAAAAGAACAAAGTGGGTGGACTTATACCTCCTTTTAATATATAGAAAGTAATAGAAGCCAGTTAGCCAATATCTGCTCTATTGAAGGATTCTTTGGTTTTCATTTGAGAGTTATAGAAATTTCAGGGCTCTTAAATTTGTGTGATATAATATTGAAAATAAGAATCCCTCCAAGCATTTCATCGTTTAATTAACTTAAAGTAGTTAGCTTGCAGTTCAGAGAAATAGGGATGATGCATGGAAACTTTATTTCCAGCTCTGTCTACATAATTCTTGATTTTAACTCTTCTGTATGATCCGTTACAACAAAGATGATTAGGGGACTGGAGGATAAAACATACAAAGAACAGTTACAGGAACTGGGTTTGTCTAGTCTAGTGAAAAGAAGACTAGGATAGATGTGTTAGCAATGTTTCAGTATTTATGGGGCTGCCACAAAGTACCTGAAAGCAGGATAAGAAGACAGAACAATTAATCTTTGGAACGACTTGCCTCCAGAAGTTGTGGGTGCTCCAACACTGGAAGTTTTTAAAAAGAGACTGGACAAACATTTGTCTGAAATGTATAGGATTTCCAGTTTGAACAATGGTTTGGACTAGAACAGTGCTTCTCAACGTTTGTGTGACGGCGACCCCCGTCACACAAACGTTCTGCGCATGCGCCGGGCCGCACGCATGGGGGCGGGACCCCCACGCGCGGCGCGCGTGCGCGGCGGCGCCCCCATGCGCGACACGCATGCGCGACCCCCCACACGTGCGCGTGTACGGCGGCGCCACCATGCGCAACGCGCGTGCGTGGGGCTCCCCCCATGCGTGGTGCGCATGCACGGTGCCGCCCCATGCGCAGTGCGCATGCGCAGCAGCGCCCCGTGTGCGGTGCGCATACGCGGCGCGCATGCACGGCACCGCGAAAAATGGCAAATCGCCGCCTTTGGTGACCCCCGAAAAATGGGGGATCGACCCCAAATGGGGTCGCGACCCATAGGTTGAGAACCGCTGAACTAGAAGATCCCCAAGGTCCCTTCCAACTCTGTTATCCTGTTCTACATTTTTACTGTATTACCACTCTACAATTTTTTTAAAAAGTGAAAGGTGTTTTAATGAATGGAAAGGAAGACCAGTGAGCATGATATTCTCCACCCTGGCCCAATCTACTCTACCTTCTCCATTTTCATAGCATTCACCATCCTCTAACATTGGCCAATCTCCTGAGAGACAGTCAGTCTGAGGAGCCATCTTTCCTGCCTCCAGACTACTGAGAGAAGATAGCCAACTGCTTGCCAGATGTTTAATTATCTACTTCAGAAAGAACAAACTTAAAAGCATATGCCTACTCCTACTAGCAGAAGCTTTCCTTTATTGGTCTGACATTTTGGATGAACATCTTGACTAGTCCCAAGAATCCTGAAGCTATTCCAAATCTTACCCAATTTCTTTTCTTTTCCAGGGATGATGAAATCAGGGATAAGTGTGGGGCAGATGCAGTCCATTACCTCTCCTTCCAGCGGCATATCATTGGGTTGCTAGTTGCCGTAGGTGTCCTGTCTGTGGGAATTGTCTTGCCAGTGAATTTCTCAGGGGATCTTCTTGGTAAGTGGAGGGCATTTTGTGTCAGAACTCTGCTGGAGAAGGTCTCACTCAGCTGTGGGACCTGTGTTTCTACTGTGTGGGTCAAAAGAGCAGAAGTGATTCAGACATACAGGTAGACAGATTTTCCTCTGAAATCTCATCTAGGCTTTATCTAGGCTGAGGAATGCTATACATCAGTGTTTCTCAACCTTGACAATTTTAAGGCATGTGGACTTCAGCTCCCAGAATTCCACAGCCAGCAATGCTGGCTGTGGAATTCTGGGAGCTGAAGTCCACATGCCTTAAAATTGTCAAGGTTGAGAAACGCTGCTAAACATGCATCAGCAAGCTTGGAAGAACACCAAGATATGCAGCTGTAGAAACAATATTTAGGATAACAGCCAAAGAGAACTAAGCATGCTGAGTGGGCAGAGAATGACAACTGACCTGGAAAAGGGGCTGGCTAAACAAGAAAACTCTGCATTGAATTTGTTTGTCATGGTACTTGTAAATATTATCTCTTAAGGAAAGAGATAAGAAGGAAAATGTGATAGTTTGCAAGACATGGATGGCCTCTTCCAAGCATTTGCTCATCCTGGTCATTAAGCTGTAGAGCAGGAAGGGTTCTAAAGCTTAGCAAAATGGAAACAAAACATAACCACTGACTTACGTGAATTTTATTTTATTTTTGTAAATATTTTATTAATTTCAAGTTTTACAATCATAAGTACTTAATAAACAACTTGGTGTCTGGGTTCTTTTATCATTCAGTAGTATATCTTAACTTGCACTCAAAATATCCAATACTACACCATCCAGTATTTCCCTGATCCTCTCTTCTTCCAATAATAATCATTTTACCCCCACTATGCAAGTATAATTATTATTGCTATTAATACCTATACAATTAAATATAAACATCTTCATCACACGTTTCTAATGTTATACATAGTGTCCATAATATCAGTTTATAATATCTTCTCTAGCCAAAACATATCTCAAATGTATTTGCAGTCAGAGTTCCCTTATTCAATCCATATTGTTTTTTTCTCTTTTTTAATTTTCCATCAATATTCAAAATAACTTTATCAATTATCATTTTTCTCATAATTAATTACATTTGGGTAACTAAAAGCTTCCTTTATACCAACCCTCTTAGTATTTTCATATTTTCCATCTTATAGAAAATTATGTTATCTTAGTTACAAATCACATCCTTCTATTTTATAATGGTCCTTTTATTTCCAACAATTGTCTATTCTTTTAATCATATTCAGACATCCATTAGATGGTATAATCTATCATCTAATTAGTCAGGACCTCTATTTTCTTCAGTCTTGCTCTAGCTTTCTTACTTTGCCAAATAACTTTGCAAGTCAGTACATTTAGATCACCAAGTATTTCTTCCTCTGTTTCTGTATATATTATTTGAAATAAAAAAGACAATTTAATTAAAGTGTTTTTGTAAAAACACTTAATCCATTTATATTTGTTAAACAGCCTTCATTTTCTTTCTCCTTCAGTTTCTCTTTTAGTTTCTTGTTCCCTAGTTTTCAGCATTTTTTCTAACACAGCTCTGTCATCCATTCTATCAGTTCTTCTTCCTTGTCCTCAAATATGAACTGAAATCTTGAAAAGTAAAATGTCTTTCCAATTTCTGGTGTTATATCTGGGTCTTCCAAATTTTTATTTATCTGCACCTGTCTGTTGGTTTCTTCTTCAAATTTATCTTTATGTCAGTTTCCTCTATTTTTTCTTCTGGTTTCTCACTTGCTAGTTCATTCTTTATGGTCATTTTCTGAGCATTTTTTGCTTGTAAGTTTAAGTTGGAGAGTGGCTCATTTATGTTATTTAAATTATTTTTAGTCTTCTCATAATTTAAAACAATTGTCTCTTGAATTGATTTCAACATGGAAAGAATTTCTTTCTGAACTCCATTTACATTTTCTTATTGATTATCCATGTTTCTTCCAAAGAGAAATAATCCAGAAGCAATTTCCCCACTGTTTCTTAATATTTCTTGTTAATTCTTGAAACTAAAAGTCAATCAATATTTGTAATCCAAGCTGGCCAGTTTAGAATGGTTTATTGTCTCCTTCATACAGATAAACCAGCCCAATGATTTTTTTTCCCCTTTTCCCAGCTACAGTCTGCAAAAGTGAAAGTTTCCAGGAATAACAAAGAGCCTTATCTATGTCCAGGCTTCGTGCCAAATTTTCTTTAAGCATAATAAATTGTAATGCCAAGGTTCACCACTAAAAGTCATTAACATCAATCTTCCAGCTTTTAAATCCAAACCTATTTCACCAACTTTCCAAATATCTTTTTGAATATAAAGTCTTAAAAATACTTTTAGTCCCCAAATTTGTCAAAGCTATGTCTTTATATTGAATCCAAATTAATTTTGTAGTTTTTTCTAATTTCCCCTCAAAGAAAGTTTTTCACCGCTTCTCTTTTCCTGAGAGAAGGGGGTGAAAATTCCCCTTCTCTCTATCATCTGGGGGATTCTTTGCTTTGGGAGTTCTTTTTTCCAGGAAAGGGTTTTAAAGTTATAAAGACAGGATCGTTCTCACCCAGTTCCATCCGTGTTGTTCAGAAGTTGCTGGTTAGTACTTATCTTGGGTTGTCGGTGGTATGTGGCCAGTCTTTCTTCCTCCGGTTTGAAGGCTTCCTCCACTCAAATGGAAGGGCTGCCGCCCCTCCGCGATTGATGAGGGTCCCCTTCTTTGTCGCCTCTCTGGGGCAACTTTGGACTCTTTTTAAGAGTCCCCAGCAGAGGAAAATCGGACATGGAAAATGGAGCCCCGTTTTCGTGCGCACATTATGCCATGGTGTCTAACCAGGAAGTCTCTGACTTATGTGAATTTCAAGGATCTCACATTAGGAGACTGTTACGCAATATGGAAATCACCCTCCCGGGTAAACCAAAAAGTAAACCTGACTATACAACTATTTCTACATTGTTGTAAGGACACATGAACAGAATCTTGTGAGTCTGAAAGTAGAAACTTCCTGTTGCCATTCTTAACTGTTTGATCCTTTAGAGTGGTCATTTCTGAGTTTCTTCCTCTGACCGTTAAGCCATTGGGGGCTGCTCATTATCTGATAATTTCTTAGGTAGCATCTTTTCCTTTTGTCCCTCAAGGTCATTCTTATATTTCAATGACACCAAAACCAAACTGTGTTGATACTCTGTTTTCTGGAAATACCTACCTGAATGTGGAGATCTTTTGTCTTCCTGTCCTTACAAGGGATGCTTAAATTGGATTGGATTGAGAACATGCTCTGGCATTATATTTCCCCCTAAATTTTCTTACACAGATACAGCTTACTTAGTGCTTAACTACTTAACTTATTTACTTATCTCTTAACACTTTGCTTTCCTTCACTACTGAAAAAAAGTATCTTTACGAAGGGCAATCTGGATTGGAGGAAGTGTTTTCTCAATAATATTAGGAAATGCTTTTAATACTGAAGCAATTTATGGTATTCTGGACTTGAGGCGAATGGGAGAGAATTCCCAGATTGGGAAATGGCAGCTGGCACAGGCCTAACACTTTCTCGTAGCTGAAGAATCTGTAGATACCTTAAAGTAAATATTTGACATTTTACATTATAATGAATTTTTTATTATAAATCATTTGGAGCCTCTTAAGATAAAAGCAAACTAAATTTTAAAAAATTAAGTCAATAATCTAGTTCATTCCTCTCTCTGTCCTCCCTCCCTTCCATCCTGTTTTTTCTATCCAGAAAATAACCCCTACAGTTTTGGCAGAACAACTATTGCTAACCTGAATTCTGGGTGAGTATGATCATTGAAATGTTTCAAGAGATTCTATGTGGTCAAGGAAATATTATTCATATCCTTTTAGGAAAAACTTCTCCAGAATTCATATGAGTTGGCCCTTAACCAAATGAGCCGTCCTCTAGCAGTGGTTGAATTCTGCTCTCTTCTTTTAATTTTATGGCAGGAATAACCTCTTATGGCTGCACACTACTTTTGCCTTCTTGTATTTGCTGTTAACTGTGTACAGCATGCGTCGCCACACTTCAAAGATGCGCTACAAGGAGGATGACTTGGTAAGTCTAAGTGAGCCCTGGACCAGTTGTCAACCACCTACCACTCCATTGTAAAGTAAAAGCAGTTGGGAACAGGCCAGGTCAATGTTAGTTCTCCTTGAAGTTTCTCTTCCCCAAAGGCTTGATGGTGGAGACAAAATACCAGATACGCTTTAAAGTAGCTCATCCTTAAAGGCAGTTTCTTGAAGGTTCTTCCAGCTAAAACATTTAATAAATGGCTCATCAAGAGCCATTGTCACATGACATATATCTGTCCCCCAATGGGGAGGACGTGACTTCCTTGAAGAACACTCCATAAAGATGTTTGTTAAGTTTCCAGGAGTTGAGCTTGTTTGGGAAGAAATATTATTTTACTTATTTGTTGCCTCATATCTATTCCAGGTGAAACGGACTCTCTTCATAAATGGCATCTCAAAATATGCGGAACCTGAAAAGATCAAAAAGCATTTTGAGTAAGTCACTCATTCTTCATCCTGTCAGGAAGAAAAAGCTCTGCTATTTTTTTTTTTAACATAGCCAATTGTTTTTGGATTCTAGCTCTCAGGCTTCCTGACCAGGAAACAGGATGGGGATATTGTGACTTAGTAACATTTAGAACAGTGATTTTCAACCTTACTAATGCCGTGACCCTATAATACAGTTCCCCATGTTGTGGTGACCCCCAAGTGGGTGTGGCCACCAATAAGAGGGTGTAGGACAGCTAGGGAAAAGGGAAAAAATGGCGGACAGCATGGTTTGGCAACCCCCATGAAATGGTCATTCGACCCCAAATGGGGTCCCGACCCACAGGTTGAGAACCACTGATTTAGAAGGTGGCAGATTCCCCACTAATACAATAAAGAGCTGGTTTAGATAGAAGTGATTTCTATTCTACATAACAGAAATGAAGGATATGGTTAATTTTTTGTTCCATTTCCAAAAAGTTCCATTTCTTTCCACAGAAAGAAAGAAAACATTTCAAAGGTGCTGTTCCTTTTCAGGATTAAAAGCACAACTACAATCATCAGTCAGAATCTTTGAAGTTTTGCACTTTCTTCAGGAACCTAATAAGCTTGTCTGGGCGTCTTTCTTGTTTTGTAGGGAGGCCTATGCAAATTGCACAGTGCTGGAAGCACGGCCCTGCTATGATGTAGCCCGGCTGATGTTCCTTGATGCAGAAAGGTACAGAACCTGGAGCTTTCTCAGCAACTATGGTCAATTACTGGTGGCTGCAATGAGCCGTGTGATAAAAATCAAGCATAGCTGGATCACATATGTGAGCAGGATGTTTTCTGGGGCTTTATGAGAAACATTAGGATTTATTTTGTTGTTTCAATTACATTAACTCTATGATGTTTGCTATAGTTTTAATGATTCTTAGCTCAAAGGGATGTAAAATTAAGCCACACGTTGGATTGTACCACAGTATTGTAGTCGGACAAGTTTCTGGTAATGGCACAATAAGGTGTGTGTGTGTGTGTCAGGAATACACATGACCCTCAGGTTGCCTTATCATGCTAGGAGAACAATTAAATTGCAATGGAGGGGCATTCTGAGAGTTTCAATTCTAATATATCTGGAAGGTGCCATGTTGTGAAAATCTTGGCTATTGTTGTCCAAGGTGACATCTGCAGTAAAAAGCATCATCCATTTTTGGTATTCATAATAATGAATCCTGTAGTTAGGGTAGAGGTTAAGGGTGTTGGTTCTGGTTGACAGCATTATGATATAAAGAGCAAAATACAGCTGGGTGAGTATTGGACAGCAAATAGAGCAGAGTTAGAGCATATGTTCAAACAGGGATTCCAGTTCACGGTTCTAACAGGCAGTGAGAATAATCCTGAGCAACAGGAGGAAAAGCCAAGGCAATGGTCAAATAAGAGAAATCTCAGTCCAAAGCAGGAATATAATGTCTCAGACTTGACCCTCTTTAGTTCTCTTTAGGTAAAGGCAAAGAGGGAGAGGCACATTCAGAGTTGCAAGATTTTGTTACTGTAACCCTACAATAAAAATAGTTTTAGTATTCATGATTTTGGGGTTCATGTCTGGTTTGTCAGAATGGGCTGACAATGACATGTGAAGAACTCTTAATCAAAACCAAGTGATACTGAGAACTTTCTATGAATGATGGACCCAAATGTAGGGACTATTGAGATCTTGGATGCAACAAAATGGAAGAGTGAATTTCATATATTCTCTGGAACAACGTTGTGCTTACTTAGCTTTCTAGATATAGTGAAGCTTGTCAGCTACCCCTGGAAAGCAGAGTAACAGTAATCTGATGGTCTATAAAGGGTTAATAGGTTTCCCAGTCATTACAGAGATCCAGTAACAAAGTGGGATGTATTCTTTTATGAATTAGTTGGAGAAACTATAACAAAAATAAAATTATATGTAATAAATGAAAACTCAACTCAATAAAATTAATCATAGGTCAAATCACTGACCATACCTTAAAACCAGCACAGTACAATAAAAAAGATTATTAAACCTAATCATAAGTTGAGGTATTGGCCTACCTCCACCATATGTAGATACTCCTATTTTGAGTCACCACAATACTCTAATCTAGTTCAAACATTGTTTTCTCAATTGGGAGGCTGCTGTGGCATAAACCACTCCTTCCTCTGTTAGATGTCAATTAATTCACTGAAGTAGGAAGGATTGTTGGATAAAGCTAACATTTAAAAATGTAATGAACTCGATCGTCCAATTCCAGTTCCCAGCACACACAAATTCCTTATTGAACTGGTATGCCAAAAAATTGGCTGGTTTGTGCTATTGCATTCACTTGCTGTAAATGCAGATTGGCAAAAGCTTTCTGGTGCTCTGTTTCCACACTGAAGGCTGTACATTAAAGAAAGATGCTAAAGTGCAGGCATTTGTGTTGACAAACTGGAAATTAGTGGGATCATTTTACTGCAACAGAAGTACATGCAGACAAATACCAATGAAATCTTGATGTCTCACCACACTTAGCCTGTACATAGCCTACTTTGGCTTGCAATGATCACTGCTACCTGTTCTGAGGTTCCACTTTTCTTACAATCTTTTGTTTCAGAAAAAAGGCAGAACGTGGAAAAATCTACTTTACCAATTTGCAGACCAAGGAGAATACCCCCTCAATGATCAACCCAAAGCCCTGTGGCCATCTCTGCTGTTGTGCTATCAAAGGCTGTGAAGAGGTGCAAAGAAGGGCTGGTTAATGACAAGTGACTGGGCTATAGTGCTGGGAAATAGCATTAAAAAAAGAGAACCCAGAGAAGCTCTTTCTCCTGATCTGATGTTACTGTCTGACATTTATTACTTGTGCACCCAGGGAGAAGAGTTTGAGATTGGTTACCAGAACTTAGGGCTCTATTTTTGCTAAGGCATCTTCTTGTTTTATGGTATTACTGAGAAGCTCCTGGGGATAACATGTATCAATTTCAGTTGCTGATTATTCAGTAAATTATAGTTAATGACAGAGAGTTTGTATCTTATCTTAATCAAAATGGTCCTTATCAAAATGGATTAGAATCTAATTATTCCATTTTTATTCCCAGAACAGACCTAAACTAATGGACAATGATTTGCCCTCTAACATACTTCTACTTAAATGGTTTGCATTTAATGGACTGTGAAATCAAAATATTAAGGTGATCAGTAATTCTCATTTCTTGGGCAGATCACTGAGGAAATGCAATATTGTTATGTGTTGGGCTAATAATGTAGTATGCCTGCTTTGGGACTAAGTCTCTTGCTTTGTGGATATTTATGCAGGTGGAAGCCATTGAGTATTATACCAGCCTAGAGGAGAAGCTGAAAGAGGACTACAAGAAGGAAAAAGAAAAAGTCAATGAGAAGCCACTGGGCATGGCATTTGTAACTTTCCATAATGAGGCCATAACTGCTATGTAAGTGTGTGTAGAGGTCAGGCTGGAGAAACTTTTCACTTGTATAAAAGGAGGGAAAACATCAAACTAGACAAGCTAAGATCCTCAATATCTTAGTCCCTGAGATACTCACAAATAAAGAGATGGTCAGTAGTGAGGTCAAATAGCTAGTCCACAATCTTGGGGTTTTTATACATTTATTTATGTTTGATTATTTTTATATTGTTAATGTAGCTATGTTTATACCTCACCTGGAGTCGCATCTATGTAAGCTATATAAATATGCTAAATAAATAAATAAATGAAATGACAAATCCCAAGTGCTGCTGCTTCTGAAAGAAGCATCAGAGGACTTGTCCAACACTCAGTGGAAAACCCATCTTCAGTAGAAATATCTAGTTTCCCCTTAAAAGTATCAGTGCTACTTCATTCTGTAATAGATCATGTGCATTAATTAGTCCAAGCACAACTGGACATAATTGCAATTTCAGGATTCCTCCATATTCTACAATTCAGTTTACACTGGTCTTTAAAACTGTTGCCAGTTTATTTCATTGACTTAAATCTGAGTGGGAGGGAGAAGAAGGAAGGAAGGAAGGAAGGAAGGAAGGAAGGAAGGAAGGAAGGCTTTTTTTTAACACACCTCCAGACTTCATGGTTTTCTGAAGTTCTCCCTTAAAATCATGTTTTTTTTTCTTTCTGTTCTAATTTCTAACAGAATATTTTAAATTAGTGATATTGTCACATCACAAAAATGTATATAAAGGCCTTTGATCATCTCCTTATCTATTCCCTCTCCACTTTCTTCCAGAATCCTTAAAGACTTCAATGCTTGCAAGTGCCAGGGCTGCAAGTGTCGTGGGGAGCCCAAGGCTTCTTCATGCAGCGAGTCTCTCCACATTTCAAACTGGGCAGTCTCTTATGCACCTGACCCTCAAAACATCTACTGGTAAGTTGGCCTAAAAAGGGGAACTCAATAAGTCTTTGTGCTTCTGATAGGTATGTGAAAGCGCCAATAAGAGGGATCCTTTAGAAGGGGCTCAGCCTCATTGGTAATATTGTCAGTGAACAGGCTAGCTTTTAAAAGTGGAATTCAGCAATAAAGAGTGTGGCCAGGATATCATCCTAAAATGCAATCCCACCTTCTATAATTGACACTGGATTCTTCCACACTTAAAAGAGGTTCTTTGTGTTGTCTCTCTCCTCCAGGGAGCATCTCTCAATACGTGGCTTATTCTGGTGGTTCCGCTGCCTGATCATCAATGTGGTGCTCTTCATCTTGCTGTTCTTTCTCACCACACCTGCCATTATCATCACCACAATGGACAAGTTCAATGTCACTAAGCCTGTCGAATACCTGAATGTAAGATCTTGACCATATGAGGCTTACAATGAAGATCTTCCCTTGTGTTTAGGGCAAAAACAACATACCTATTTCAGCATAGTTTAGGCGCACACACACACAGACACACACACACACACAATCCCCAACCCTTTCTGTAAACTTGAGCCTCATCATTCAGTACATGGCTTTTGAAAGAAAAACAGAGGAAGAGCTTGCCAGAAGTCACTTTGCAATTACAACCAGTGAAATGGCAAGGATAAGTAAGGAAATCTCTATTGTTAGCAATGATTTATTTATTTATTTATGAGACTTATATACCTTTAAGTGCAAGTACTCTCTAAGCGGTGTACATTGCCCCCAACAATCTGGGTCCTCATTTTACCTACCTCAGAAGGATGGAAGGCTGAGTCAACCTTGAGCCGGTGAGATTTGAACCGCTGACCTGCTGAACACAGTCAGCTAAAGTGGCCTGCAGTACTGCACTCTAACTGCTGCGCCACCTCGGCTCATGATAATCAGAGTTAAGGGATTGCAGGAATTGTTCTTGGCTGATATGTTAGAATTAGCTGATGGGTCATAAATATAATTCCACTAGTGGTTTTTAAATTGTTCCTGAACTCAGTTTTTTTTTTCCAAATATCAATGAGAAATAGGCTCAAGCTGGTTTAGCAAGCACATTAATGCTTAAAGCATATATGATGCTTGAAGGTTAAAGGATACATGACAACATAGTTCCATTGGAATACACACATAGACACACACATTGTGGATTCTCTGGTACAGCCCTTCCTCACCTAATATATTTCAAATGATCTGGGCTAAATTCCATAATCCCTAGCCAGTACTGACAAAGTCAGACTCATGTAAAGGGTCTCTCTTTGGGGCAGCTGCATTAAGGGCATTTAAGTGGATAACATTGTCCTTCAATCGCTGGAGTTTAAATAATTTAAAGTGGGCTTCGGAATTCTGCCAGGTCCTCTAGACTGAATCTACTTTGCATTTATGGCCATTAAAATCACAAAACTCTAAAAGATCCAAACATTTTATTGGCTTGGAGAACAGATATATTGATTTTCTCCTTTTTCTGAAAAAAACCCATGTGTCTGAATTTAGATCTTCATCTGTTTCGTTCTGTAGCTCTGAAGTGCAATTTATATAAGTAAGCATAGTTCAAATGTAGAGTGGTATCCTAAAATAGGAGATGCCCTCATATTTTTCCAATAGACAAATATAGGAATTGTTCTGATCCATACTAGATTTGTACAAATAAGTACATTCTATCCTTCCATTGTAACTTGGAAGAATAGGTGCTGTTGGAACTCATTCTGCGTCCTTGCACCTGATTTTAGAAGGCAAATATAAGATACTATAGTCCATCAGCAAATTTGAATACCTTGTGTGTAAGAAATAGAATATGGTTTCAGTGTGCATACAGAAATCTCCTCATATTTATATATGGAATAAATTTGTCACCCAAATTTAGGGTTCTTAGATATTTTATGTCTCAGGATTTCTGCTTGCATACTGTGGGATGAGAGCTAAGACCTACAACGCTATTCTGTATCTCCTGATTTCTCCTTTTAAACTGGGACTGTATGGCTATGAATTGCACTGTGGAGAAATTCCATCTAAAAATGTAATATTCTATGTTCTTCTACAAGTTGCTTGGAACAGGTGAATTATTGTTTTATCTTTTTTGCCAGAACCCTATCATCACCCAGTTCTTCCCTACTCTATTACTGTGGTGCTTCTCTGCTTTACTTCCTACAATTGTGTATTATTCAGCATTCTTTGAAGCTCATTGGACTAGGTAAGATGGAAAATAAAATTGAAGTTATTCAAAATTTAACTCTTGCTTATAATTTTTCTTCCTTGCAACCACAGAATCATACCCTGAATTATTTTTTAATTTAAAATTATTTTTGTGGACTTATACGTTGTGTATAACCTCTGAAAATAAATTTAATAGAGGCGGTCAACTTCAGTTTTACTATTGGGGTAAATAACAAGGTAATCTTGTAATAAAGGTTCCTTCTGGACATATTTTGAAAAAAGAAAAAAATACAATTGATCTACATTTTGAAACATGGTTTGTTGCAATGCTGTGTTCAATCTATAGCTGCAAACTCAAAATTGAGAGTTTTAGATATTAAATAAATATATTCGATAATAAGTTTGGTTCACGAGAAGTCTTTTGTACATGAGTATATTCATCTCTTCATATCACACTAAGATAACTTGAAACTCAGCTCTGTATCAATATTATTAGTCTTCCAGAAATATCTTTTCTTTATGATTTACTTCTTAAGGATCTTGCTCTGTTACTTATCGTCATTATAATGCATACTTATGTGCTGCTGTTTCAGTGTTTTATTCTTTATTTGTATTGTGCATTGCATAATGATATAGAATAATTAGTACTACATAAATAAATTTTGCATTTCACCATCATGTGGCTTTTATTTCTCAAAAGCTATTGGAACTAACCATATGCCCTATAAATCTACCAATATTCTTTGTGCCACTAGGTCTGGAGAGAACAGGACAACCATGCACAAGTGTTACACTTTCCTCATCTTCATGGTCTTGTTGCTGCCATCACTAGGCCTGAGCAGGTAAATACTAGGATATTGAACAGCGAACGATATATTCAATTTTACCTATACTGCTGTTGTCCAGTTTTGCTTTGTTTTGTTTTGTTTTAAAAAAATCAAATTTCTCACATTGATCTGAAGAGGTAAAACTGAAAAAGAGCCATGATGGCGCAGTGGTTAGAATGCAGTATCGCAGGCTAATTCTGCCAGCATCCAGCAGTTCGATCTTAACCAGCTCAAAGTTAAGAAGATCTTTCCGAGGTTGTAAAATGAGGACCCAGATTGTTGGGGGCAATACTCTGACTCTATAAACCTCCTAAAGAGTCCTGTAAAGCAATATGAAGCTGTATATAAGTCTAAGTGCTATTACTGTTGCTAAAAAAAATGTAGCAAAAGATACTTTATAATGTTCTATTTAGCAATACATTTCCAGTGTTGCAGTGGTCACTGGTTCATGACTTTGCGTCACATTAATTAATTATGTCAGCCTTCCCAGATAGACAAAAAAAAAAAAAAAGAAACAGGAGATGAGCTACAGAGGAGATGAGCTACTGTTACTGTTACTAATCTGAAAGTACAAATTTCAAGCTTTACACAAGCCTAAGAAGTTCTGGAAGGTACCTTCTAAGCTTCTTTCTTTGCTATGCAGCTGAGGGATGTACGTAGCTCTATTATCTATCTGATTCCTCCCTAGGCTTCATCTTTTGTCCCATTTCTCAATGTCTCCCTCACATATTATTACAAGTATGGTCGCTATCTCCTGTGATTAACATTTCTTGTTAATCTACTTGTGATAAATTCATTCCAATTCTTTATATGCTAATTTCCAGTACATTATTCCAAATGTGAAATGTCAAAACTGCTTTCAAATCATCTGAAGCTAGTATAACTTGCCAACCGTATGCTAACTCTGCAAACTTCTTATAGAGGGCTGTAAAGCACTGTGAAGTGATATACTGTATAAGTCTAAATGCTATTGCCCATCCCAGTCCAGCTAACCACATTTGAATTTCTATATTGGTGTTCTCATTAGTAATCAGCATACACCAAGGAAACTTTGTTTTGAATAACTTTTTTTCTGGAATATCCCAAATCCTTTTTCTGAGCAAGTGATATAGAAAAGAGCAAAACTAACTGACACAAATCAACTTATACATCAGGAGGAACTACTTTTTCCAAAGTTGACAATATTTTGGCTTATCAGGAAAGGCAGGCTGCTAAATGAAAAGCAGTCAAAATATCTGATAATTTGCATAAAAGGACGGTAGCAGATTCCCTGCAATCTCATAGTGGCACCCGTTAAATGTGGATGTAATTTTGATGATCCTGCTTTTACACTGGGTGGAGGCCAACTATTTGAAGCATAACAGAATTAAGGAAAAAATACAGTGATTAGGTGGGTTTTAGCTCCGGAGTGCCTAGACAAGATAGTCCTCCTTCAAAGTGAGAGAAGCCAGAGCTTTGACTAGTTCTCCTAGATGTTTTCCTAATTCACTGAACTGTAAGAAAGAGGAGAAGGTACAGCCTGATCAGACTTGCAAAACTTTGTTACACCTATTTTAATAATAATAATTATTATTATTACTATTATTATTTAGCCTTCCTTTGGAGTTAATTTTCTGTTGATAATTACATTGCACTCTTTCTTTCTATATTTCTCTTCCTAGTTTGGATGTGTTTTTCCGCTGGCTCTTTGATAAAAAGTTCTTGGCTGAAGCTGCCGTAAGATTTGAGTAAGTCTTAAACTGTTTTAAGAATACAATACAATAATAATAATAATTGTAATATTTGCTCTTTTCACATCCTGCTTTCCTCAGGAAACATCTTCCAGGACAGCCAGTTTATCTTAAGCATTCAGACAAGGAGGAACAGTTGTTATGGAATACCATACACTCATTTTATGAGATTTTATGTGACTTCCTCAGCTCCCTTCTCTGGAAGGAGTAACTTGTCTATTTTTACAGGATGCTTCTTGTGTAGCACTTTTATTAATAGTGACCACCATGGAGAAAATACCTAATCAACTTCATCCTAGGTGGAACATATCAGGGCAGCCAAATCTCCCCAATATCTTATTACAAATCTCACTTTCCCTCTCTTTTTTTTTTAACTATCCCATGCAACTCATACTTTTTTCATGATTTCAGTAGCTATTTTTCCTTAAACTGTTGGAGGGTGTATTCTGAGTATAAAATATTTATGGGAAGTTAAGATGGTTCTGTAAACAGAGGTGTTTCCACAAATGCTGAAGAACAAAACAAAATTACTATATTCAAATACATGGCAACATACATAATTCCAGGAGCTTTAGATGTAAATAGCTTTGTAGTAGCCAATTAGGTAATGGACAGCTACAAAACAACATAGCAAGATTTTAAATTTGCCAAGAGTGGTTTGCCATGAGTGGTTTATTATTCCCTTTGTTATTAAGGATGATTTTTTTCAGTTTCCCAGGCTGGTCTACACTCATACAATTCTTGCTGATCTCCCTGATTAATATAACTTTTTCCAAGTCAGCCAAGTTGCCTCTCTGTTTTTCCAGATGCGTTTTCTTACCAGACAATGGGGCCTTTTTTGTGAACTATGTAATAGCTTCTGCTTTCATCGGAAATGCCATGGATTTGCTGCGCATCCCTGGCTTGCTTATGTACATGATTCGGCTTTGTCTTGCCCGTTCAGCCGCTGAACGCAGGAATGTCAAAAGGGTAAGTAAGTCAGGTAAGGAAGGGAAGAGCAATGCATCCGAAGGCTGAGCTAAGTGTAAAGTGGTTGTCACTGAAAACAACCAACAGAAAATCTTCACTGTTTTTTTTTTTTTTTCATGTGCTGAGAGGAATTCTGTTTTCTTTTTTAGCATCAAGCTTATGAATTCCAGTTTGGAGCTGCTTATGCCTGGATGATGTGTGTTTTCACTGTGGTTATGACTTACAGCATCACGTGCCCCATCATTGTTCCCTTTGGTAGGTATTATCACATCCCCTTGGCTTTCTTGTAGCTAGTAGCATATTGACAAGTAGGTGTATGAATAGCCACATTCGTCTTCATCATGGATCATTAATGAAATTTTGGATCTGGGTTATCTCTTCAGTTGCTTTCTCTGAGTAGAATTTGCTTATCTAGTAAGAACCAGTAGAGAGAGAGATTGCTGTGGGAATTGATTCAGTATCGCAAGGATGAGGCTTCTTAACTCTGTCTGGAGCAGAGTGTGCCAAGAAAGCAAGGTGGATAGCCCCATCCCTTCTTGTGACCTGCAAGATATTGTGATCTGGAACTTCAGGAGGGTCTCTGGGGGTGGAGGGGTTGTAAAAGGGCAATCTGAGGAAGTGGCATCATAATAATGTGTGATTGGGGAGGGGAGTTCCATGTTTTTAATCTAATTGTTATATTTATACAATGGTAATCTGTTTCGAGTTGGTTTTAATCGCAGTGGAAATAAAATAAAGAAAATGCATTGATTTCTTCTACCTTCTAAAGAATAACTAATACATTATTTTCTCTCCTCTTTCAGGTCTGATGTATATGTTACTGAAGCACTTGGTGGACAGATACAACCTCTATTATGCTTACCTACCAGCCAAGTTGGACAAGAAGATTCATTCAGGGGCTGTGAATCAGGTGGTGGCAGCACCCATTCTATGCCTCTTTTGGCTCCTTTTCTTCTCTACCGTGCGCACAGGTGAGACAAATTTACAGGGACTAGATTTTGTGGGGTTTAGGTTTTTATGTCCACCATGGTTTCTAACCCACATAGTACAAGCAACATGGTGAGCAGCTATACCAGCAGTGTAAATAGAGCCACCTTCTGATCTTCACAAAGAGCAATTGAAGGAGCAAATTGATTCCATTATTTAGTGTCTTCTTTCACCTGGTGTCTTTTAAATATCTTCGATCAACTTGCAGCAGACAGCTTGAACTACAAGTTGTAATACAGGTATCCTTCAGAGGGTCAGAAATGACTGGGCTGAGAAAGGCAGTGCTACATTTTGGAATTGGGACATCTAAAGAAACGAGGATGAGAAGAGGAATTATCTGAACTCAAACATTATTGTAGCATGTTAGTGCAAATCATAGGCTCAATTGATTTATCCTCAATCAAGCCAACATGGCAATTGGGTTAGGACAAATCTTCTCCAAAGAATTAGGGATCCATAAGTTACCATATTTACCATTTGAGAAACAATTATTTTTATTTTCCCCATATTTTCTAGGTCTATGTCCCAGGTTATCTTCAGATGTTGTTAGGTCCCAATGGTGCTCAGAGTGTCTTCAGCCATGTCCTGGAGTTTTCCTCTGTTATAGAATCTAATGTTTGAAATTTTGCAAAATAAAAGCAAAAGTAGAAAACAGAGAAGGTTCAACTGCAGCTATTGCTGATATTCCTTCATCCTTTTCTCTTGGAATGTTACCACCACTTTGTTCCAGTTATACTGAGCTTTAGGAGATGAAATAAAACAATTATTTAGGATTGCTTTCTGCCCATACAGTATCACTTCTGATAATATTAAAAGCCAACATAGAACATAGAATAACAGAATTGAAAGAGACCTTGGAGGTCATCTAGTCCAATTCCCTGCGCAAGCAGGAGAGTCTAAATCAGGGGTAGTCAACCTTGGCTCTTTTATGACTCGTGGACTTCAACTCCCAGAATTGATAAAAGAGCCAAGGTTGACTACCCCTGGACTAAACCATTTCAGACAAGTTGTTTCTCTGCTTGATTAGTTTCCATCCATTGGTTCTTTTCTTGCCTTCTGGTGCTTTGGTAAATAGTTTGCCCCTTTCATCTTTGTAACATCCCCATAGTTCCTGCATTGTTAATGGAGTCCTCTGCAGGTTTGCTGTAGAATTGCTATTAGATTTTGTGGATTACAAAAGATAATTTTGGGGGAGAGGGGAGGGATTTCATGGCTTATTGAGTGATAGGAGTTTATGAACAAGAGAAACAGGAATGCCTAACTGAAATGAAATGTACTTCCTGTAGCAGGGAACAGCAAATTTCCCCTAATGTTTAGGCCATACCTGCTATGAGAGAGGGTTGAAGTAAAGTCATTAGAAGGGCAAATCAGATTTGTGTTGGATAGCTTGACTGTTGTTATCTGCTTTCTATAGGATTCTTGGCTCTCACGTCCATGTTTACTTTCGTGGTTCTTGTCATCACTATTGTGATCTGCCTATGTCATGTCTGCTTTGGACACTTCAAATACCTCAGTGCTCACAATTATAAGGTAACACATACTAAATACTAAAATATGTTCAGGGGAGGGATTTGAAATCAAGGAAGATGTGTGAAATGCCTCAACTTTGTACGCAATTTTTTTATTTTTGAATTCCATGTTTGTTTTTATGGTCCGTTCTGTTAGTCTCCCAGAATTATTTGCTTAAGATATAAATAAAGGAGAGAAGCATGTCTTGTACACCTTCTACCTTGTACTTTCACTGAAGTTCAGAGGGAAAAAATGTAGGCTTGCAGTTTTCTGTTTTTGCCATCTTTATGCCCAGCTGGAAAAGTACTAGACGTCCTGTCCCTGCTGTTTGCACTTGCTAGAAAAAGAGAAAAGCTTGCTGTTTCCACTGGGAAATTAAGAGTCTTTCCATGTATAGCCTAGAAGGTGCACTTCTGAGGCTTCTTACCGGGCAGGAAGGAAAAACAGTGATGGGTTAGCTGTGCATGTGAAGACTGAACAATCCCTGTAGAGAATAATTTTGGCACATGAACCTTCTACATGATTCTTTCATTATAGCAGCATGCAGGAAGAAAGTAGAAAGAATGAATGCTAAATAGTCCAAAGTAGATGGCGGGAGATAGAGTGGAAAGAGATTTTTTCTATTTATTATATCAATTTATATAGTCATCCATCTTGCACTCTGGGCAATGAATATAGAATTAAAAAAGCAACATAGCAACAAGCGAAAAACACACTCACAATAATAGGGCAACCATAAAATCCTGGCACCTGAGGACACTCTCACCCAACTCATATAAAGGCAGTCACATGTATCCAATCTGCAGACTACAGACTTGAGGAATGAGAACTGGGGTTGCTGTTGTTTCATGGCACACTGTTGTCTTCCAGATTGACCACACAGAGGCAGATGCTGTGGATGGAAGAGAGAATGGGCGGCCTGCTGCCAGTCAACCTCCGGCCCCTAAATCAGCTGTGAGTCTCCAGCTCCTCCGCTTGCCATCTGCCTCGCCAGATGTTCTGTGTCCTCTTATGTCTGACTTTGGGGAGGAGGGAGAAGCATTTACAGATTACCTTTCAGGTTCCCCCCTGGTTGGCTACACACAGGCAGCATCAAAGGAGCATGGGCAGGAAACAGGCTTTATTACTGGCCCTGTCTGAAATGATGGACCTGCACACCTCAGTTTTTGCCCCCATCCCAGTGCTGTTGTTCACTTTCGGGCCTTTGTCTCTCAGCTGGACAGTGAAACTAGACTGGTCAGTGCCCCCCCTTCCTCTTTCGCTTTGTGGCTCTAACACATTGGCATGTGCTCTTAAGTGCTGCAGAAAGAACTGAGGCCATCATTTCCCAGGGCAAAGGGGTTTTAAGCGGAATGAGAATATGGATTCTTTAGAGGCTTTGTGGTTTGCCCTTTCCCTGAGCCCCGGGATGCCTGAATTATCCAGAACAAAAACTGCTCTGGAAATGTGAAGGGTTGCAGTCATGCCATGCAGAGTATTATGTATATACTCTAATGTGGCTCCCAGAAGCTTAGAAAAATCTTCCAAATAACAGCTTTATTTTATATAACTTGAAGTAGATTGGTTGAAGTAGACTAAACATAAGGAAAATATGAGAGAGGAGATTACTTAACTGTGATCATTGCCATCATCATCCATTTTATCATAGTATTTGTTTTGTAAAATCTTCCATGCTATCCAGAACCCCAGGTGCACTCTAGTAAATATACAGAGCTTCTGTACTTGTCAGTTTCCCAGTTCTAAAAGCAAAGAAAAAACAGCTTTTGCATCATACTTTGTCTTGAAAAGTGTCCCGTTAGTCCTATTAACTGCCAGAGGACAAGGATGCTTCTCTCTCTTTGCTGTGGCCTGTTGAGAGTGAGAGGCATGAAGTCTCACTGCCAAGGAACTAGGAGATGTTGCAGAAGCGGATCAAACCATGGCAAGTGAAGCAAGCTTTGAATGGCTGCCACAATATCAAAGTGTGGGGATGTTCCTGCTTTTGATGAAGGTTCCTTCACAAAGATTTCTGAATGAGCAGAAATTACTTCCATAGGAAATACTTCCTATTTTGGTGGCTTTTTCTTTGATTTGCTTTTTTTAAAAAAAGGACCAAAAGCAAAAAGGCGCTATACAGAAGCATAAGGCAAGAAAACTTTGGAGCAAGCCGGGTTGTCATGTAGCTATTTCTTACTACTGGATGTCTCGGAAGAGAATATGTGACCTTCCAGATGTCAGTTGAACTACAGTTCCCAGCATCTTTATATTTTGCAATGCTGGGGGGGCATTGTAGTTCAGCCATACCTGGAGAGCCATAAGATTCCTCAGCCTTGAGTTATGGTCATTTTTAAAGAAAAGTGAGGTCATCCTTAATGAGAAGTCAAGTGTGACATCTCAGGCACAATTGGAAACATCATCTAGTATTTATACCATAAGCTCTGGTGTCGTATAGTTCTTCTTCCCCCCCCCTCCCTGCCCATGTTAAAGAAAACAATTATGTAGGTTCTTTTTGATGCCAGCATGATTGCTCTCAAGCTTCCATCCGCATGGCACAGCCATCATAGTTTGCTTCCAGGTTTCCCATCCAGGCAGAAAGCTAACGGGTCCTTCCCTCTTCCCCTTTCTGTCCACTCCACAGAAATATATTGCCCAGGTGCTACAGGATTCTCCACCAGACGGTGACATGGCTGAGTCTGAAGAACAGGGCTCCCAGGACGAGGATCTCATCAACCCCAATGGCATTAATGACACAGATTTCCAATCATGTGAGGACAGCCTGATAGAAAATGAAGTCCATCATTAGGGATTGTGGGAAAGCACGAGGGGGCAGGGGAGTCCTGAGAGTTGACATGGCTGCTGTGTGTTGTACGTATATGTATGAGTGAATGAGCAATAGAGGGAAATTCCAAGCAAGGGGAAGAAGAGCAGCACATGCTCAGCACCAACCATCACCACCTCTCATTCACTTGGCTGTTGCATTATTGCTCATTCCAGGGTGGGGTGAAACCATTTGACCTCCATTCTCTGTCTTTCCTATCATTCCTCCTTCTCCCTCTTCCCCTTCTCTGCCTCCTCCTCACGTCCCATCGAGGGTAGGAGCAGAAAGTCTCTGATAAGTTACCTGCCATTCCCGCTTTCTGAAGCCCTACAAGTCCAAGATGGAGTCAAAGGGATGACTTTGCTACTTCATGGTGTCAAGGAGAGGAACTGAAGCAAGGACATCAGAAGCCTGGGTGTTTCTAATGGCAAGAATCTATTCTGGCAGAGACTTCATCCTGCCCTGGACTGCTACCCTCCTCTAGAACTCTCTAGTCTGAGACACTAATAATGAATTAGGTTCCAATGAGGACTGAGCTTTAATCAAGGTACTGAATTTCTAAGCTAAGAATATGGGTGGCTTTGAACCTGGCAGGAACCAGTGGTTCCAGCCAAGCGGAGCTGTTTTTAATTGTGTATAAATTTCCTACTTGCTTGTGCATCAGCAAGCATCTTATCTCAGATGCCCAAGATGCAACCCCATGATAACCTTGGTCTTGGTCACTTGTTCTCTCCAAGGCTGGCTTGTAAATAAGCTATCAAGAGCAAGAGGGATTGAATGGAAGAGGCCTTCTGCTGCCATGAACACTACCCAATGAAGGCTGCAATTGGAGAATGTTGTCTAACATCAGGTATCCATGAACAACTGCTAGTAACCCCTGTAGCTCCCAGAGGGGAAGTGCCTGTTTCAGGGTGAGAAAAGGTACAAGGGATTTGCCAGGAGAGGGTTCAGCAGGATAAGCAGCCCCTCCAAGTATCTATTCCAGGGGTAGTCAACATTCCTTAGCTGGCTCAGGAATTCTGGGGGTTGAAGTCCACAAGTCATAAAAGAGCCAAGTTTGACTGCCCCTGATCTATTCCCACATTGCTTGCACCCTGAATGTGAAGCAAGGCACTGTGATTTATTTGGGTTCTGCAACAACTTTGCACATTTGTTTTACCTTCAAAATTGACTAAAACCCTGCTCTCTTGTCCTAATTTCCCAGACGGGAGAGGAAGAGAAGGGGTTGGTTTTCTAAATCTGTAACTGGAAAAGGTTTCCACTGAATCCCCAGGATTGTAAGGTTTCCCAGCTCATCCATTTGCACCTCAGACCCTTCTTGCATGAGGCTGCCTGTGTATTCCATAAGAGGCAGCTCAGCTGCTTTACCAATCCCACAGCCTTGCATGGAACTCTTAAGGAGCCGCCTTACGACTCAAGGGTTGCCATCTCTTGACCTGCTTCCCAGGTGGGAATTCAGCTGCTGGGCCTTTTCCTTCAAAAGTGGTCTTTCTGAGGGGCACTTTAAATAAATCTGTTTAGAGTGGAGATGAGGCAAAGGGAGATGAGAATTTCACCTAGAGACCCTGCTTTTTCAGATGGATTTTATGGGGAGGCAAAGAAGCTGTTGTTTCCCCCCCTTTCACCTCTGGACTGCCTGGCATGTTGGATAAGGTAAAAAAAAAAAAAAAACCAACTCTCTTGAGCTAAATCCCTTTTCTGAAGGAAACCTAGACAGAAGGATGTACTTTGCTGCTAAGCGGTCTTAATGTTTTGCCTTCTGTCCTCTGCACAACTCTGCTCTTTGCCTGCCGGAATCAGTACTTGAGAAATGCTGCCACTGTTGCCTAGAAGCAGAGGCCCTATCCATTTTTACCATGGAAGTGGGTGTAAATTAACTCCCATTGTTCTTTTAGCCAGAACGGCCTGAAGATTTTTAGGGAGGTGAGATAGCCAGGTGGAAATGAGAGTATGGAGACTTGCCACTTGGTAAATCAGGGTTCTCAAGCACAAGTACTGAAGATTAGGCTTAGTCAAAATTGCGTAAGTTGCTGATGATCAAGAATCCAACTAAGAAGCCCCTTGAGCCTCCTGAGTGGGAGATAGAGCTGGACTTTCCATTTCCCTTAAAGGAGGAGAGATGAAGGTTTGAAGAACCCTTTTCACCCCTTGGAAGCTGGACCATAGCTTGTGGTGAGGTTTCTTTTTCTGGAGCTATCCTAGGTGGTGATAGGGAGGAGTAGAGGAGCATGAGCGCCTCTCCTCCTTCCGATGCTGTCATAGCCCCTTTGTGCAACAGCCACTCTGCTGCTGAAATTGCACATGGACTTTTATTTTAAACGTTCCCGGATGTCTCTTCAATGCTGTCTAGAAATAGTATGTGTTCCATGCCAGAGTTTCCTGTCCTGGTCCCTCGGCACCATATTCCTCAAAGCCCAGTCACCAAGGCTGTGTCTACATCAGCCCCACAGCTTCCATTTGGGTACATGGAGATAGATCTGACATCTGTGTATATACAGCTGCAGCGCGAGACTGGCTTCTGCTAGTGGGTGCAGATCATTGGGTGCAGATCATTGGTGTCCTCCTCCTGCAGGGAGCTCTGTTCTAACTGGCACTTTGTCTGTGTAGAGATGTGTATAAATACCCTGTACATATTTGTGTAAAAAAGGAGAGAAAAAAGAGGAACTTATCATATTTCCACTATGTTTGTGTGTGTGTGTGTGTATATATATACATATACTATCTAAAAGTGGGTCGGAGGGAAGACACAAGATTGACCACTGTTTGAAAAACAGCAGGCAACAACAAGGTTAGGATGTATGGGGATTATTTATTTTATTTATATGTTGCCCATTAACTCTGGATGGCACTTAATTTAATGAGGGAGAAGCACTTTTATGTGAGGAGACCATTGGGAATTGCATTTCCCTCCATAACTGCCATCGTAATACTGATTCAACACTGAGAAGAAGAAGAATCTCACTATGAGGTGAGATCATCAAGCTCTCTAGTGCGATACTAAACATTTCTTGAATGTTTTTTTGCAAACGTTTTCATACAATTGGAAAGAGAAAAAGTGGCTAGCAGTGCATTTCCTAAAAAAAAAAGAATGCCAGTAGCATTCTCATAAATGAAATGTAGTCAAATGTACTCAAACTAACCCACGTCTTATATTTTGCCTCTGTAGACAACATATCCTGATATATATTTTCTGCAATTTAAAATACAAAGAAACAAAGGGGGAAATCCTTGACAAAAATGCTCTTTTTCATAGCGTGATGGAGTGATGGGCATGGAAGCAAAACTATTTGCTAATACAAAGTAAATACAGAATGTTTTCCAAGCATGGCTTTGAGGTTCTATCTGCTTTCTCTAAAATGTTCACCATCAAGCCTATAGTAATGTTTTGGAGAAAAGAAAAGCATCTGTCTAAAGGCCATATCCCCAAACATTTGCCCTTCCTACAGCAGCTGAAAGCTAACGTAGATCTCTTATTACTTGACAATTATGTAAATCCCAGCTTGGGACAAAACCAATACAGGCAAAATAGCCTCTTGACTTGAAAGTATGGTTAAGGGAGGCAAGTTTTTTATGGGCTAAAAGGCTCTGGACCTCTGCCAGCTACTATATGAACACAACACTCTTTTGATGCTTTACCACTGCTGTCACTTGCTGCCTAATGATGCTGCCAACTGAATCTGAATGAGATGGCAGTGAAATGAATTCATCTTTACTGGAAGCAAAAACATCGAAAAAGAAGTTCTCAGGATGAAAAGACAGCTGCGCTGGACAGGTGGGAGATTGCATGCCATTCTATTCTAAGATAAACACAAAGCAAGATTAAGGAGCAAAAATAACACAAGTTTATGGCTAGAGAAAACTTATTCCAATTTTCCCATATAAACTCAGATGCAAAAAAAGGGTTTTTTAATTCCATTCTTCACAACAAGATAGGCACTGAAGAATTGCTCCCCTTTTTATCCCAAAGTCCCAAGATTTTCTCTTCATGTATTCTGACTTGCAAGAGAAGCCATCAAGGAGAGCTGCCTCCATCTTTTGTTGCTGAAGCCCTGATGAGAACCAAAGTTGGAACAAGTGATAATCTAGCCATTATAGCATTTGAGGCATTCTCACCTCTTGTTGTCAGCAAGATGGGTTAATGGCTCTGTTCTCCCCAAGAGACGAGCAGTATATTTTAAATACCAGATATAGAGAGCAGAGGAAATCAGCTGTTGCCCTGTATTCATGATGGTGAGCTACCTATGTATGACTAGCCATAAGAGGATACAAAAAGCCAGAGTTAGAGGTACCATATCTGGACTGCTAAACTCAGGACAACCATTAATGCTGCCAATATTTTAAGTTTTCTACCCCTCTTTGCTGCCATCTAATGGTCATCTGGATTTTTTTAGCCCAGACATAATATCCCTAATTTAAATGGGACATAGCCCCTGTGCTTATATTTTTAGCAGATGTTTTTGGAGATTATTCAGAAAGTTGAGCAATACTAAATACAAAGTGTCATAATACAACTTGTTTGCCTGCATACCTCTTACAGATGCTTATGCTGGCATGGAGTTCTGATATGTGTTTTCAAGGTCCCAATTTAGACTACATCCCAACTACATGAAATCTGCCCTTTACAGGCGTGTTCAGTGTATCTTGAGTTCATGATCCAATTGTGGGTAGCCAGAGACCCGTTCTTGCCGACAGAGGGAGCCCGAGAGTTACAAGCTGATGTGGGTTAGTGTTATACGGCGGAGGTTTCGAGCCCGTTTGTTTTTTATTGGCCGAATCGGAGCTTGCTGTGTTGCTCAAAGGAGGCTTGGTTCTTCAATCGCCGTCTGAGGCGATAATAACTTCCAAGAGAACAGCCTGAAACTTTTTAAGATTTCGCTCCCCCTGAAGCGCTTCAAAGTCCTAAAAAAGTGAGAGAAACCAGGCCTTATCGCAGTGCCGACGTTATTAGAAGAAACAAAAGCACAAATCTGGTCCCGGAACTCCAGCTTTGCCCGCCCCGTTTTCTCTGGGTGTGGCAGCAGCCCGCTGGACTGCCGCAGTCAACATAGCTGAAGCCTGACTCAAAGCCGGGCCGAGATTCCCGAGAAGGCTCCTGGGCTACTCCCTCGCAGAGAAGACTCTTACATTCGGAGCTGCGCTTGGATGGGTGACCCCGCCGCCTTCTCCTTGAACCCACTGACCGTCCGGGAAACCGCAAAATGCGAAGAGGCGAATCTCACGCGCACAAGTTTTACTTTGCTGAGTTTAAATCCACTCTAGCCGCATTAATAGCGTCCCAAGACACTGCGATACGAACCGCCGTCAACCTAACAGCTGAATAATTGTTAATAATGATTAATTACGGAATGTTAATGAGTTAATTATCACAACTCATTATGTCATTATATTATCCCACTGTCCTTCTAATGAACACCAAATATTGTCCACTCTGCTTCCCCCCCCCAGCAAAAAGACATTCTCAAATCTGTACGAGACACTTAAAGAAACAAAAACTGTGAGAGATGCAGCTACAACGCTAGCATTAAAAAAGGTGGTAATTGTTATACCATGAGAAAATAACTTCATATTTTGGTGGTGACTAAAATAAACTTAAAAAGAAAAAAAATGGGAAAAACTAGTTTAAAAAAAGATTTATATACTACCTATGTAATGTCAATATAGAATTGATGTTTCACATATCCTTAAGTCTATTAAATCTAGATCACATTGATAAATATCATTTCATCTTCATACATTAGGATATAAAGATTTTCAAAAGTAGATAATAGATTCATGAGGTATCAAAGAGTCTAACCCAGTGGTGGCAAACCCATGGCATGCATGTGGCCGGATTCATCCCAGCACCCATGCACTTGCTGGCCTCTGTGTACGGGGGCTGATAGTGCAAGGTCTCTGCCTCACCCTGCGACAATGGCACCCCCACCTTGCCTTGCCTTACCCTGCAGGACCAGCCTCCTGCCCAATGCCCCACCCGCCAGAGACCCCCTGGATCTCCCCCAACCCTGCCCAGCCCCCACAGGTGACCCTCCCCAGGAGCAACATCAGGGTTGGCCATGTCCACCCAGCGGCCATGACCACTATAGCCACGCCCACCCGGCACCTGGTGATACATAAGTGGGTTTTGGGTTGACGTTTGGGCACTTGGTCTCTAAAAGGTTCGCCATCACTGGTCTAACCACTTTCCGTTCACACAAGATTATTCTCTTTATTAAGGGTCCAAAGATCTAAATGCCAGATTGTGTGGCTACAAAGCCTTTTCTCCAATTTCACATGAAACAATGGAATTGTGATGTTTTGGAATCCTTTGGTCATTCGCATTGACTTGACCTCAATATACTTCTGTATAAGCCTAGCATTGTCAGTGAACTTTATTTTCAAAGGAAGTCATATTTTTAGATACGCACTGTTGCTGTTAAAAGTATGTTGGCTCCAACAATGGAGGTTTTTAAATAGAGATTGGACATTTGTTTGAAATGATATAGGGTTTCCTGCTTGAGCAGGGGGTTGGGCTAGAAGACCTTCAAGGTGCCTCCCAACTGTTATTCTGTTAAGAAACAATATATTCATACAGCATATTCACATATGAAGTAATGATTTGTTTGTTGATCCAGAATTAAGGACTAATGCTGAATATAAAATCCAGTTGGGCAGATCTGCAACCACCTCCCTTCAGCCAGCCAGGTCTCAGGGATACATGCCAAGTCTGTCAACTCATCCATAATTAAATCATGAACAAGACTAATGCATGTACTTTCATGGTGTTTCTATAATCTCCATATCACATGTATATGGGTGGCGTTTTGTGATACTATCAGCGGTTCTAGCTTGATTAAAAGCAGTTGGATTTTGAAGCACATAGTTCTGAAAATAAGTGACTGTCATGTCTGATTTGCTATTTTTGTAATTTATGTACTTTACCTTGAGTGTTTTTTGATGCACCCTGTTGGCCCAAATATGGAAGAAAGAAATCTTTCTTTTTCTTTTTCTTTTTCTTTTGCCTGTATCAGCTCAATCTAGAGCCATCCACAGGCAGCGGTCACCAACTGTGGATGGCTCTAGATCAGTGGTTCTCAACCTGTGGGTCGGGACCCCATTTGGGGTCGAACGACCATTTCACGGGGATCGCCAAACAAGGCTGTCCGCCATTTTTTTCCCCTTTTCTTTGACCACGCCCCTGGCACCCGGTGATGTATAAGTGGTTGGGGGTCACCACAACATGGGGAACTGTATTATAGGGTCGCGGCATTAGAAAGGTTGAGAACCACTGCTCTAGATTGAGCTGATACAGGCAAAGAAAAAGAAAGAAAAAGAAAGAAAGATTTCTTTCTCCCATATTTGGGCCAACAGGATGCATCAAAAACCACTCAAGGTAAATCTCCTCCCCTTGTCTCTTCCCTCCCTGATACAGCTGACAAAGTGAGAAAGAGCCTGTGGCTTTGAGGTTAACACACCTGCCTAACATGTAAGCAGTCCAGGTTCGAATCTCAGAAGGGTATGTTTGGCTGAAGAAAGCTAAGAAGCTCGAAATAGCTATTCCATCCTTAGCAATCCAAAAAAAAGTATATAATTTATGTACTGAATATATTTTAAGGGCTTAAGCTTTAGGTGAGTTTAAACAAACAGGGAGGTAGAGTTTCCAAGCCAATCTCACTCAGCTACATTCCTTGGAGTTTATTGTCCTA